ACATACATACATACATACATACATACATGCATATGTATATGGCTGTGGGTGGAACTTTAGGACTCAAACAAAAGACATGCATTATACATTATGAAAAGATACCCTTGAAGCATCAAAGGCTCGAGTTCCATGCCTGCATGTCTTGTGTGCTGTTATCTCACTGCTGCAATAGAGAACAGCATCATTTTCCATGCTTAGTTTCCCATCAGAAAGCTGTTTAAAATTTTATCTCAGGATGGACATAGGTAACAAATTTGAAAGTAAAACCATTTGTTTTCCTTTTCTTCAGCAATATCAACTTTCAATCTTGGTTGTGAAATATAAGTTGCAAGAATAGAAAAAAAATGAGGGAGTTTATAGCGCAATGGGTATTTTTTAAAATCAAAATTGTAATAAGGGCCTATCATACACTTTAGAGGATTCCCAGACCTTCAGAAAAGGGAAGATGACCCTGCTGTCAGTGCTGTGTGTTACCTAGGGTTGTGTCCAAACAAAATATTTTATAATTGGAAGGGTTCCTAAGAAATAATTTTTCTTATCATTGTTTCCCAAAAGGGCTGACTTTTAACCCTTTTGGAGAAAAAGTGGTCTACACTTATCTTTTCTAAAAGTAATTATGTAGAAGATTCTAGAGTATTCATTGGAATGACTTTTGGTTAAGGTGGTTCAGTGAGTTTATGCTTTGTTACATTGATATGTAATTCTTATCAAAATTCTTTGAAGACACATGTGTCTTACAGTTAAGTTTTTGTTTGGAGCCGGGTGTCGGTGGCACATGCCTTTAATCCCAGCACTTGGGAGGCAGAGGCAGGTGGATCTCTCTGAGTTTGAGACCAGCCTGGTCTACAAGAGCTAGTTCCAGGACAGGCTTCAAAGCTACACAGGCAAACCCTATCTCGAATCCCCCCCCCCAAAAAAAATAAGTAAAATAAATAAATAAATAAATAAATAAATAAATAAATAGTTTTTGTTTGGTTTTGTGTGCACAATTGTAAATTATTTCAAATGAGTTTTAGAAAAAAAGTGTATTAGTTAACCAGGCATGGTGGCACACACCTTTAATCCCAGCATTTGAGATCAGAGGCATGTGAATTTCTTTGAGTTCAAGTCTAGCTTAATCTATATAGCAAGTTCCAGGCCATCCAGGCTACATAGTGAGTCTGTCAGCCTGTCTGTCTGTCACCCAACCCCAGAATGCGCACACGTGCACGCGTGCGCGCACACACACACACACACACACACACACACACACACACACACACACACAGTGTATTAGTTGTTTATTAGTTGTCTTATGTTTGCTAAGGTTCCAGAGGGCATAGTCCACGGTGTGGGGAGGGTGTGGCAACAGGCAGGCGAAGCATTTCAGGAGGATCAAGGAAGCCGACTGCTCACGTTTTCATCTTCACCCAGGAGAGTGGGGAGGGAGAAGAGGAAGGGATGGGCGAGGCTGTAAACCCTCAAAGCCCACGCCCAGTGGCATGCTTCATCCATTAGTCTTCACCTCCCAAAGTTTCATAACCTTCCCCAACAGTGCCACCAGCTGGGGACTAAGTATTCAAATGCATGAGCTTATGGAGGGTGTTTCTCATTCAAAGCACATCAAAAAGTTTATTCTATGTATTACTTATGCCCCCAACTGACTCTGAAGCCATATCCCACAAAACAAGACACTAATATTTCCTAAAGAATCATGAGTATTTGTGCTAAATACTCATAAATAAGCATTTATGCTAAATAGTGAATGATGAATGTCATGTATTTTCAGGGCATAGTTTATAAATGCGCTCTTTTAATTAAACTTTTTGTGTATATGGTTGTTTTGCCTGCTTGTATGTCTGCATTCCGTATGCATGTTTGGTGCCCTTGGAGACCAGAAGAGGGTACTGGATCTCCTGGGACTAGAGTTCCCAACAGCCATGTGGGTGCTGGGAATTGAACCTGGGTCCTTTGGAAGTGCTCTTAACTGTTGAACCATTTCTCCAGCTCCTATTAAATGAAGTTTTAATAAAGTTTAAAAATAAATGCTCAGTTCTCAGAGTTCTTGGATTTTCTCATAAGAAGCTAAGGGATAGTAGGTCCAAGTGAATGCTCCTCCAAGCTGAGGTAAAAGCAGATGAAGGAAATAAAAACAAAGATAGTTGTCTTAGTTACTGCTCTATTGACCTGTTGGTCATCATGACCAAGGCAGCTAATAAAGTAAAGCATTTAATTGACTCTCACCAGCCTTCTTCCTTTGTGGGCGCAGTCTGTCCCGTTCCTGTCTCACACATCCATATTCAAGTCCCGTCCTCTTACCTTTGCCAGTTGGATTGCACTTTTTTTTAATAACCCCTAATTACTGCTCTTTAAATTAACTAATCTCTGGACCCAAATCATGTTATTTGCTGATTTCATTATTTTTTTAATGATAAATGGAGAGTTTTGAAAGGTTCAGCTTTTAAGAGTCCCTGTAGAGCCCACTCAGGGCAGTTTTTCAATCAAAGCACTCATGTAATTAGCATAAATGGATATTTAACTCAGAAGTTTGTAATGACCTTGAGGCATAGCAAATCTGTATTTTGCAATATTCTTAGATGCCAGTTTTCAACGTATTAATAACCTCAACCAGATCATTGTATCCTTTGGCCATGTCAGATAAAAGTAAACTGTGCTCTGAACCTGGATTTGTTGCCTTAAAATCCTAAGTACATCCTTACCTGTATTCTTTTTTTAAAGATTTTATTTGTTTATTTATTATGTATACAGTTATCTGCATGCATGCTTGCACACCAGAAGAGGGCACCAGATCTCATTGCAGATGGTTGTGAGCCACCATGTGGTTGCTGAGAATTGAACTCAGGACCTTTGGAAGAGCAGTCAGTGCTCTGAACCTCTGAGCCATCTCTCTAGCTCCCTTTCCTGTATTCTTATATTTTATTTGTAGTGTGGCCTCTAATTACTGAAACCATAGCTGTATTCTGTCTGCTTGGTTCTTTCACTAACTCTTGGGGTCTACTTTTAGCCCAAGTGTGTGAGCAGTTGCATTTACTTCCAGACTTATACTTGAACATCTAAAGCAGATAATCATTAATAGTGAGTCATCCTTTTAAAATTATTCAGCTCTGTAAGAAGCATCATTTTGGAATTAACAAGCCAGAGAAAATTATACCATCCCCTGATGACTCCCAAGTTTCTACTGGAGACATTTACACATATCAAATCCAACGTCTCTGTTCCCCCAAAAAAGTAAGAGTTTGATTGACATGGGCTTTGAATCCATCTTTGATTAGCTGTAAATAGAGAGTAATTAAATTAATCTGGAAGGTTTTTGTTTGTTTGTTTGTTTTTGTATCAGAAGACTGCCATGTTTGGGGGTTGTCCTCCCTTGAAGTCTTGCATTATCTATAAACTTTACATCTGACTCCTGTACTTACAGGTTAAGGAAAGTAAAGAGAAGGAGAAGCTGGAGAGACGACTACTTGAGGAGCTGCTGAAGATGTTCATGGACTCAGAGTCCTTTTATTATAGCTTGACCTATGACCTGACCAACTCAGTGCAGAGGCAGAGCACCGGGGAGAGGGATGGCCGTCCCCTCTGGCAGAAGGTACCGCTCACAGCATACAGCAGTGCTGACTCCTGGAACGCTGCCTGTTTGCCTTTTATAGGAAACTGAAGTAATGTATCCTGAGCTGATTCTTCCCCTCCACTTTCTCTAGGTCGATGACCGATTTTTTTGGAATAAGTACATGATCCAGGATCTCACTGAGATTGGTGTGAGTAGATGCTTCTAAGACCCCCGTTAGTGCTGTTGTTAAGCAAATGTCACTCACATTACGGTGAATTTTGAGATCTTATTAGGATGTTTCCCCTCACTGAAGAGAATCATTTAGCTAAGAAAAATGAAGGCATTGCTTCCAGGAATTTCAGGCATTCTTCACCAGCCTGTCTCTTCAACAGTTATTTAGTTGAATGTGATGTCACATACCTGTAATCCCAGCACTTGGAGGCTAAGGCAGGAAACTTGTCACAAGTTTGAGGTCCTCTGGCTCTATAGGTATGTTCAACTCCATACTAGGCTATATAACAAATCCTATCTCCAGAAAAAGAGGGGTGGGGGGAATACTAAGCCCAGGGATCCAATGATGTCCACAGAATTCACTTGTTTGTTTGTTTTCACATCCATTGGGAGTGCAGAAGCCTACTTCTCTGTAATGATTCCACTCTGGTTTACTTTCTGGGGTGTGGAGTGGGTGGATCTTTAAGGCCTCACCAGTACTCCCAGTGCTTATTGGAAGAGGCATTTAGGGCAAACTACAGGGTGTAGTGAGATGATTGCATGGAGCTCTCTCTGGTTTAATTTTTTACATGATTTTTATTGGTGTGTGTGTGTGTGTGTAGAGATCAGAGAATAGCTATTTGGAGTTGGGTCTCCCTTTTCACAGTGGGATCCTGGGATTGAACTCAGGTCATTGGACTTTTGCTTGACCATGTTTTACCCTCTGAGCCATCTTGTCAGTTCTCTTTCTGATCTGATGGTTCCATTCTTCCTTTTTCTCCCCATGTGCAGAAATGCTTGAGCAAAGTTCCTCTTTGTCACTGTGATAAGGATGTGTGACATGGCAGATGGAGGGAGGAAGGGTTGCTTCTGGCTGATGATTTCAGAGAATTAAGCGCATCACCATGTCAGGGAAAGCATCTCGTGGTCATGGTGGGCCAGGAAGTAGAGACAGAGGAATACTGACATCCACTTTCCCCTTCTTCCTGTCTGGGCCTCACCCCGTGGGATGATTGCCTCCCACACACAAGGTACATTTTTCCTTTGCAGTTAGTTCTTTATAGAAACACATCCAAAGATGCAGCCAGAGGTATATGACTCATCTCCCAGATGAGTCAGTCCAGTCAAATTGACGGAAGACTAACCATTAGATCCTATCACATATATTGGAGGATTATGCCTGAGGGCTGCTGTGTGCTGTGTTTTGGATACTAAGCTCTAGATAAAAGTAATGGAATATGGTCATCTGTTGTTTTCTTTCTTCCCATTTCCTCTTTACTGGTGATTCATAACAGTTACTGACATTTTATCCAGTGGCATCTTCAGACAGATACCTAGCATGTGTCTACTGAGGTTGAGGCATGGGTTGTTCTGAGCTCTCTGATACTGATCATATTGTGACCCCCAAAATATAGTGATGGGATGAATAGGGTGTTTATGGTGAGCATTTGTCTTTATGCTGGCAGTGTGGAACCCAGTGTTTGGGGAGCTTCCATCACATTATTTAAAGCTGAGGGGTTTAGGATAAAGATGACATTTGATAACATGTGTTTCTATGTTCCTGTCAAGAATCTTGGATTGATTGCTAGACCAAAAGTACAGGTAGTGAGAATAGTGGTAAAAATGAACACAGTTTGATGCCGGCCAAACCTTTACCTCATTGTTTCCAACCCTAACCTTCCAAGGATCCAATAAAGAGGACACAAAACAAAATGAAGCTGTGAAATGAATGGGTTCTGAAGAGCACAGTGACAAAAGGAAGGGTAGATTTGAAACTGATGCTGAAAATGGGGATGATAGGGCGTGTCTGTAATGCCAGCACTCTGGAAGTCCAGACAGGAGGATTGTGAGTTCCAGGCCAGCTGGACTACACAGGGAGACCCTATCTCAAAACAAACAATATTTTGAGTATCCATTTTATTTTATTATGATTTTGGCTTTGTGTATATATGTGTACATGTGGATGTCCTCTCTCAAGCACCTGCTTTATTTAGAGACAAGGCCTCTCACTAGCCTGAGTGCACCAAGTAGTGCACTCCAGTGAGCTCTAGGATTCCATGCATGTGCCCCATGCCTGACTTTACTTTAACCAGAAACTCCTTATTGACTGGGTATCTTGGTCTTATTCTGGTTTTCTGAGACCCGATCTCATGGAGCCCAGACTGGCTTCAAACTTAATCTGTAGCTGAGGATGGCATGACTCAGTGGGTAAAAGCACTGTGCCCTCTTAAGAGGATAAGGCTTTGGTTCCTAGCCCCTCAAGATGGCTCCTTGTCCCCTGTAACTCCAATCTCAGGGGACCTGACACCCTCTTTTGGCCTTTGCAGGCACTGTAAGCACCTGGTGTACAGAGACAAGCAGGCACATACACTTAGAAATAAACAAGTAGGTTTTTATTTTTTAAAGAGTAAACTGTGTTTTGTAATGAAATGATCAGGACTGATTTCATTTTGTTATAGGCTAATACAATTGAGGATTGAAAATCAGCTTTAAGGCTTTGCTTTCTTATGCCAAGAGGAACTCTTTATAAGAGCTACATTTGTTAACTACCCTTGCCAGGCACTGTGCTTCACTTTGCATGTACTGTTCATTACTCAAAACAGGCAGTAGTAGTCCCATTTCACAGAGGAGGACACTGAGGCCTAGTGAGGTGAGTGAGCTTCTGTCAGTGAGCTTGTGGGTGGTGGAGCTTGGATTTGTATGGAACAGTCTGGCACCTGTGCTGTGTGCCCTGTCGGTCAGCTCTTAGGAAGATCCCTGTAGAGAAAAAGGCAGGCCCATTTGCTCTCACCCTCCCCTAGTGTTCAGTAAGTAGACAGGGGGTTGGGAAAGGGCTTATGCTGGCAGCAAGCTGATGGCAGTATGTGCTGACTGATACTGGGTTAGGCTTGTAGCAGTGCTGTGCAGAACGTGGACAGCATGCTGTTCATTTCCATTCTAGACCCCGGATGTGGACTTCTGGATCATCCCCATTATTCAGGGTTTTGTGCAGATTGAAGAGCTTGTGGTTAATTACGAGTCATCCGACGAGGAGAAGAGCAGCCCAGAGACCCCCCCCTCAGGAGTCCACCTGTGTAGATGACATTCACCCACTGTTTCTAGTGGCTCTCATATCTCGCAGAAGTAGGCACAGAGCTGGTGAGTGCGGGACCATACGAGCATGCAAATTAAATTCAGGCGAGAAGTGTTGAAATGCAAATGGCAATCATGGACTTGAAAGCACAGTGAGCTCCAAACTCCAAAGACTGTGATGCAATTAGAGACCGATTTCTGCAGCAGAGGAGGGGCAAGTTAACAAATCAGACAGAACAGCACGTGCGTGCATACACAAGATAAGAAAGTCACTTGGATGTGTCTGAGTACAGGGCTCCAACCAAAAGCCTGTGTCACAGTGATAAAGTCTTCCAGAGCGAACCCCTTTAGGGAAAACATTGTCTTTCATTCAGAGGATTCAACTTAGCAGTGATGGGCACAGCTGTGATCTCAGATATGTT